AACTCAAGAAAAATTTTCTAGTTTCAGGTTTTTTCCAGGAATGAGGTTTCAACAATGTTGAAATCACCTGCAAACCAACATAGTAATTCGTCAGTGCAGGAACTTGGGAAAATATGCAGAAAAAATAATACCTTTTCAAGCAATTCTTGAGTAGACTTTTGTTTGAAGAACGGTGGCATAGAACTATAAGACATCATATCACTCATCCTGCGCCTCTCACTCTCAACCTCATTCAAGGTTAGCTGACTCGCCAAGCAAGCTCGATTTCCAACCGTCTCATTTGAAATTACAACCTATGATAGGAGACAGTAAAGCCATGTGTGAGTATATTAATAGGTGCAATGCTAGATATTAGCAGTTATCAAATCTACACCACCAAACACAATCCGTCATAAAATCTATTAGATTATTTTATCGTACAAATCGGTATGGTATCAAAGACAAAAACTTTCTATATAAAGCAAGGAGTGAATGAATATAAGGAATTAACATACAGTTCTCTGTTGAAGCCGAGCATCTCCTTCATCTACACTAGCATAGAACGCAGCATGTACAGTTGGTAAAGTTGCAGGAGCCTGCATCAACCTCCCCATTGAACTTGAAGGATGCATTATATCATCTTCAGAGATGAGTAAATCCTCCAGTAATACACCAACTACACGAGAGTTAAATTAATGCAATTGTCAACAAAAAAAGATTGCTACTTTTACTTAACTGAAAGAAGATGAAATCTGAAAATTTCGTAAAAGTCAAATTGACCAGTAATCTAAAAAATTCAGGATTACCTTCACCAGGTCCTCCAATTCCACCAAACACATAAATGCGGCCACCAACCGATGCAGCAGCATGGCGACAACGTCGCATAAGTGGAGTAAGATATTGTCCATGGTTATAAGTGCCTGGGCCAAATCTATCTAACCATACACCACTACGACTACTAGTATCAAGCACTACAAAAAACAATTCATAACATCATTCACTACCATGAAAAGGGTTAAACTCAATTCCTCTATAGGCTTCACATTCCATAAATGAAGGAGAACTCAACTTGTGACCATTGGTTAAAGCTCCAAATAAGGGTTAGGAAACATATGCAAAAGCAGAAAAGATAGATAGTCACATGGAATATTAAAGTACTTAGAAAACAGCCGTTAGATATTACCGGCAACAGATGATATAGCATCGATTAGGTGAGCCCCACTCAGGGCACCTCCAATGACATGCAATCTTGGTTGTACAAAAACCTGAGAAGACAGACGATCAAGTTAAGGAATTTTTTTGCAAACGATAGGATTTGAGCATGGCAGTGAATTCAAA